TATCAACTCATTCGAACCTTAACGTTTTCAACCATTACTCTGCATTCACTCTAAAGCATCAGATCGGGTTAAGCCTTCATACAGACTTCTCGGGACAAAGACCTCCTTTCAAGAGGCAAGTAGTGGGTAAGCCTTTCTCAAAGCCTGAACTAGCATAGGATCCTCTCACTTTTTCCACTCACTCTCTCTTCGTCTCTCTCTCTCTCTCTCTCTCTCTCTTAAGGTGTACCATCTTACTGTTTTAAGCACAGAAGACTGGAAGCGCCCTTTAAAACAAACTGCAGCAAAGAAGATAGATTATTAGGGATCAAGTCTTACACGAAGGATTGCTGCATCTATCAGTGTCGGTCGAATCACAGTATGGATAAATGCAGATGCCGGGAAGGCTATTATCAGGTGGTAAAAAAAAGATAGATATTGTTCTTTTACGAAAAAATGTGGCCCTTGATTTAATCGCTAGACGTTGTAGCCCAATATTTTGAGGTTTTTAGGTTCAGATTTATCTTAGCAATGGGTAATATGTGTATTGTTTAAGCTCGTTCGGTCAAGATGGTTGGATACAAGACAAGATTTTTTGCGCATGCGTTGTTATAAACATGCTAGTAAAGGGTTCATCGTGTGGAAGAAAATATCATTCTCGCTTCGTTAGCAGCAGTGTAAAATGTAATAAGGTATATCAACTTGGCCGCTATTTCATTGATCAGTTTTCACCAATGTGACAGCCGTGAAATCGTGTGAAAGTGTTCTTTTGCAATTGATTATGTGATCGTGATTTCTCAACGAATTCTAGGAAAAAGTCCTCTAAATTTCAGACGAATGAGGACTTCAACTGATACTGTTCATGAATTACAGACTCATTAACTGACTGACTATGTGATCGATTGAATCTTCTCTCGAATGCGTCACCCCTTTAGAAACACTTCTTTAGTAGTGTGCAAAACACTATACCATTGCCTACTCGGCATGTAGCGATACTGGCTTAAATTCATTAAACTGCCCATTTCACAATCATGACTCACAGACTTCGAATAGAATAATACGCTAGGTTTACTACACTACACACTCAGACAGTATCAGTCTGATGGAACTTCGCCGAGGGGCGCAATGTTGAGTCACCTATCTAACGCTTAGCGGTGGCGATATCTTGCTGAGTCTAACAATATTTCGCTAAACGGTAATGATATTTCGCCTAGTATAAACGAGATATCGTTGGGCAGCAATGATATCTCGTTGGATGTTAGCGATATATCAGGGAGGCGAAACCGACAAATCGTTGAATCACAATGATATATCGCTGAGCTCGAACAATATATCCGGTTTAGGGAAAACGATAATCCTCGAGGAGCTCAACGATGCATTAGCGATATTTCATGGTTTTTAAAACAGTAGCCTTGCGATGTATCGCCGATATATTGCGATGATCACGATATTCGGCGATAATCGTTTGCATTACATTTGCACATTACTATAAGATCTGCGGTAGAATTTTTAATGTTTTTTTTTTTATTGAACGATTTTTAAGGGGAGTTTAACTTGACAGAATGTGATTGCAACAACGCATGCGAGGAGATGGTTTATGAATCACGTGTCTCATATTCTAATTCTCCTGATAATACCCTATGGAGGATAATAGGCCCTTTGCAGCTAGAGGTCACGTGCTTGGCAACACAAAACTGGAGAGCAAGCGCTCCAGTAAACAAACTCTCGTAAGAGGTCAAGCATATCTGGCTTTAGACAATAGTTTTCTGTTCATCACGCTCAATCCTTTTGAA